GGTCACGTGCATCCTTTCCCCCTTCCACAGGCATCAACCCCTGTGTTTGGGGGGCTCCTGTCCTTAGTGAATGAGCAGCGACTCTTGAATGGCCGTCCCCCTCTTGGTTTCCTCAACCCTCGCCTCTACTCAATGCAGGGCCGTGGCCTATTTGATGTGAGTTGAGGGGAGGGGTTAGGGAGCTGGGGGGAGTGGGGGTAGAGATGAAGGGGTCAAATGGGTAAGGCAGAGAACCCAGTGTTTGTAGGGAATGTGGGAGGTTTGGGAGGCATCTGGGGTGGGGTTTGGACAGGACCTCAGGTGTAACCCTTTCCCTTCTACCCACAGGTAACTCAGGGCTGCCATGAGGCTTGCCTAGATGAGGAGGTACAGGGTCAAGGGTTCTGTTCCAAGTCCGGCTGGGACCCAGTCACAGGTTGGGGAACTCCCAACTATCCTGCCCTGCTGAAAGCACTGCTAGACCCTTGAGACTTGATCTTACCCTGTTCTGGAAAGATGACACCCTTTTTGACACCCTGACCCCACCCTGGTGCAAGTACTATTTGATCCTTGCCTGCATACACAATCTCTCATCTTTGCTGTGAGCACTGAGCTGACTCCTGCATCAGTTAATCCTACAACTTCCACAGTACTGATCAATGTCACTGTCCCCTCACCCAGTATTTGTAGGGCTTACTTCTTCCCCCTAATTATTCCTATTTCGTCAGTTTTTCCTGCCAGGGTGTTGAAGCCGAACCTGCTCCAGGCAGTCAGAGCCAGTATAGATGTCCTCATTTGTTCATGAGTGTTCCCCTTCCCACATGCACACTCATATATTCTGTCCACTGCTGTCTGTATTTGCACACAAATAAAGCCTGTGCTGTTTTGTTCTCTACCACCTGAGTTGCTTGAAGAGCAGAGGGGGCATGGTTTCCCTGGTCTTCAGAGAGCAGGGCTGGTCCCTGATCCATGGACCTATCCCTGGGTGCAGATCAGTTAGATATCTGAAGAGCCAGTCAATTCTTTTAGTTCAGAAAAAGAAATTGAGGACTAGAAAGGAGAGAGGATTTGCCCAAGGTCACCCTCAAAATCATGTATAGTCTGGCACATACCACAACATGCTGTCAGAGAGGCTCTATGTCCCATCAAACTCTCAGGGATATAAGTTAGCATCCACTAACTCTGGGTCCACCCCATCAGCTAACTCATTCCCATAATGACATTACAGGATAGACCAGTGGGCCCTGATCCTTACCTCCTTGTCATTTGCTGAGTCAGAACAAGTCCTTGAGATTTTCATATAAATGTTTATTGTTGGTAATCCTGGGGGAAAAAATAGAATATAGGTGGGGAGGGCACCACATGCCCTGAACCTTTACCTTGCTTTTAGAAAACTGTCGGCCAGGGCAGGCTGGAAATAAGCCTGATTGCATGTGGGATGGGAGGAAGAAGTATCACCCATGCAATCATCTTTCTCCCTGTGAATAATAAATACAATTTAAAATATTTATTATCTGTGCAGAATACTGGGATTAGGAGCTGGGTGGGAGGAAAGGCAGGAGCAGTGTACAAGTTTAAATGAAAAATGATCCTTACCCTTATAGGGGCAATCTAGTAGTGGAATAAGACAAATATAGATAATTATAATATTCAATATTATACGACAAAAGCATTAGAGTTAAAAAGCAAAGTCTCTACAACATCTGTGACAAGTCAACCAGCCTACAATAACTCACAATTTTACAACATTTTACAATAACATTGTAAGGTAGGTAGCAGAGTTTTACAAGTTATTGTTGATCAGTTGTGTCCAACTCTTCATGACCCCATTGGGGATTTTCTTGGCAAAGATACTGGAGTGGTCTGCCATTTCCTTCTCTAGCTCATTTTACAAATGAGGAACTGAAGCAAACAGGATGAAGCGACTTGCCCAGAAGTATCTGAGACCAGATTTAAACTCATGAAGATGTCTTCCTGATTCCAAGCGCAGCGCTCTATCCACTGTGCCACCTAGCTGCCTATAGTGGCAAAAAGTAATGTGCAGAAACGAGCTGAGTATAAGATTTTACAAAGGAGACATCCACTTGAAAAAAAAAGTTTGGCTATGTTAAAGCACAATGTGCACAATTTAAAAATAAAGGATATTTATCAATATGTGCAGTAAGCAACAGATGAACTCGGCCTTGAGACACTGTCTCGAGAGCTCGCAGAAGACCGGAATCACACAGGGCTATAAGAGGGAAGGGCCCAAGTCGGGCCCTCACCAGGCCTCTGAGGCCCGGAAGCCCAGAGGAAAGTTCACAGTTAACTGAATGCAAAAGGACGGTTTCCATAGCAACCCAGCTGTTCTGCAGACCCTCTAGCCTCGCACCTCTCTATGGTCTGGAAGGCGGGGCGAAAGAGGCGCGGTAAGCCGGAGCCAGAGGGAAACGAAGGCAGGCCATTGGACTCGGGTGTCGCGGTTGAGCTCACCGCATCGGAGGGTGCGGCTTGAGCCGGAAGTAGGCGGAAGTCGCTTGAGGGGAGAGGAAAGACCGTGAACGGAAACGGAAGCGGAAGCGGTTCTGTCCTCCTAGTTCTCCGTCTCGGGTTCCATCCCCGTTCCCCGCCTCCTTCCCGGCGCCATGAGTGGCAGTGGCGCGGACCCCGAGGTGGTCCCGGCCCCTGCCCCTGCCCCGCCGGGCCCGGCCTCAACTCCTACCCCCACCCCTGCTCCGGCCCCGACCCCAGCGCCGGCGTCGGCTCCCGCCCCAGCCGAGAGCAAGGCCAGCCCCGCGGGAGGCGCAGGCCCCGGCCCTGGCCGGGGGGATACGTCCGACCGCCGGGCCTCGGGTGAGCGGGGAGCGCGGGGCGGGGGGCTAGCCAGGACCCGTATGGGGTGAGGAGAGCTGGAGGGAACTGGGGCTCTCACGTGAGAGACAACTTGAGGCATCAACGTCGGGAAAAATCGTGCTGACAAAAGCGAAGCTGCCCCAGGGTGGAAGGCTCCCAACCTCCCACCCCCCACGTCCTCAAAGAGGAGCTGGCAGACCACTTGCCATCGTTCAGAGAGGACTGACTGGATAGCGACCGAGGGCCCTTCCAGCCCTCGAGTCTCTGCAAGTCCTTAAAGGACTGGGTGGGTGGTTCAGTGAGTCCTCCAGAGCGCTGGGGAAACAAAGTAATGGAGGGTGAGGAGCTGAGAAGTGCAAGCGAAGAGGACCAAGTGTTATGCACTTCCACATCAGCAGGTCCACACGATTAGGTGGGAGTAGGGATTCCTTTTTAATTCAGTGCCGGCTTCCTCGTCAAACATCCTCCCCCTACCCCTAATCTCCATTTGAAATTCCTGTTATCTGTCTTTTGCCAGTCCCGGTATCTGCAGCTGGGGGTACCGCCCCCCCTGAAGGTGCCATGTCTAATGGGGTGTATGTGTTACCTGGTGCTGCCAATGGAGAGGTCAAGCCTGTTGTGTCTAGTACACCCCTGGTGGACTTCCTCATGCAACTAGAAGACTACACACCCACAGTATGTATAACCATTCTACCAGTCAACCCTTTTTCAGTTCCCTGCAAGCTTTTCTTGGCCAACCTATTGCCATTCCCCCAATCGTTAATTTTTGTTTGGCTATGAGATTCATCTTTCCATTTAGCCTGTAATATCTTCAATAAGCAAAGCAAAAAAAAAAATCTTTTCCTCCCATGTCTCAGATGGGCCCTAGCCTACAGCAAATACTAAATTCTCTCAAAGGCTTCTTTCTTTTAAGGATCATTTCAAGAGCCACCTTCTACATGAAGCTTTTCCTGATTACTGACTTCCCCCACCCCTTTTATCTATAGATGTGTAGGAGAATTCACAGAACTCTACCCCCATCACCTCTCTATTGATTAGACCATGAATACTCTTTGAAGCTAGGGACTGTTTTTGCTTGTTTGGGTATCCCAAATGCCTATCATAGTACCTAATACAGTATGTACTTAACAACTGATTAAAATTTGTTGCATTCTTAGATTCCAGATGCTGTTACTGGTTACTACCTGAACCGTGCTGGTTTTGAAGCCTCTGATCCTAGAATGTAAGTGATTTGGGACAGTAAATCCAGTCCCCAGCATCTAGTGGGTATCTCTGGCTCCTTCCTATACACCAAGTACAGACTTCAACTTGAGGGAGGGCTGGTTTTATCCCCACATGCCAACTCCTTCTCCCTTCCCAGTGTCCGGCTCATCTCCCTGGCAGCCCAGAAGTTCATCTCTGACATTGCCAACGATGCTTTACAACACTGCAAGATGAAAGGCACTGCCTCAGGCAGCTCCAGGAGCAAGAGCAAAGTGAGTAGTTGGGACTAGGCTGGTGATGTGATAAATGCTCCCCTGGGGCTCTTGGTGGCACATGGAACTTCAGAAACTTTCTACTGGTAGGCCTCTTTAGCCCTGTGAAAGCCACAGGGATTATCATCCCTATTTTATATACATAGAAACTCAGTCCATATTGGTGAAGTGGTTTGCTTTGGGACATGTAACATGTAAGTGCAAGAACCAAGATTACATTCCGGGCTCATACTATTGCTCTTTCAAATTTCTTTCCAAGGACCGAAAGTATACCCTGACCATGGAAGACCTGACCCCTGCACTCAGCGAGTATGGTATTAATGTCAAGAAGCCACATTATTTCACCTGAGCTCACCTCTTCCCCGGCTGGCCGGGGCATGTGTGGGTGTGTGTACATTTGTCCCATTCCTTCCTCCCCCACCCACCCCCACACCAGCTTGTTTTCATAATAAACCTTTATTGTGACTGAGGCAGGTGGCTGCTTCTCCCACACTGGGAAGACACCGAGAAGTAGGACTTGGCGTGGTGTGAAAAAAAAGCTGAGCCTACCCCCACCCCACCCCCAGGCTGGCAGATGGGGCAGGGAGGGTAGCCCCTAAAGCTGGGGGTGAGGGTGGAGCTGAGGTGGCTGTACCGTTGCCAGGGGAAGGAGGGGGCCCTGGGGCCTGCAGCTAGGAAGGGAGTATAAGTGTACCCCCTTCACCCCATATGGCTCTATTTGTCCTGCATCTTTTCCAGGATGGGTACAATCATGTCAAACTTGGGCCTTTTGGCTGGGTCCTCATTCATGCAGATCTTCATGAGTTTACACACATGTGGGGAGATACCTGGAGGAATGGTGGGTCGAAGGCCTTCCAGGGCAACCTACAAACAGCAAGAATCCCCAGGTTCAGGACCTCTCTCTGTCCCATAAATCTGTTTCTACCTTCCCTTCCCCCCAACCCCCCAACATGCCCCCAGTATCCTCCAGACCTTCATGCCAATTTCCATGTTGGAGAGGTCAGCAAATGGTACCTCCCTTGTCACTAGTTCCCACAACAGCACTGCGAAGCTCCACATGTCTGCAGAACGACGATTAATCTCCTCTGGCTTCTTCTGCAGAGCTGGGTCAGGGGAGAGGATTGGGATAAGAACCCTGATTGTTTCCCTGTCCCCCACCTCCCCACTAAATCTGTCTTCTGCCTTCATCCCCCCCTACCCTCAGGAGCCACCCAGGCAGGGGCATACATGCGCCCTGGGCACTGGAAAGAGAATTTCACATCAGCCATGCTGATACGGGCAGTCATATCCTCGTCGATCTGGGGAAAAAAGATGAAGGCTGGTTGTAGTGGGGATCTGTGCTCAAGTGATAGTTGGATTAGACATCCTGGGTACACTGTGGCCTTAAACCTCACCATGACACTTCGGCTGTTGAGGGCATGCCGGGGTATGAGGGGCTCCAGTGTGTGTAGGAAGGCCATGCCCCGTGCCATATCCAGAGCAAACTTGACAGCTTGAGTCTGGTCAACAACAAAATCTGGGAGAAGGAAAGTTCAGAGAAGGGAAAAGGAGTCACCGTTAAGTTTAATCCTAGCAGCCCCTTTGCCTCAGACCAGACAGCTGGCTTCAGGTTCCTATTCCTGTCCCCACCCTCTGGTGTTCACAGCTTGAATCCCAGCCTTTTCTGGCACAATGACACAACTCACTGGTCCCTTCATGAAGTACATTGTAGAGGGAGCCATAAGGCATCCAGTGGGTGATGAGAATGGGGTTGGGGGCAGGGGGTGCCTGGCAGGCTCCCAACACAGGCAGCACGTTGGGGTGTGAAAAAATCCTGCAAAGACAAGACAGAATTCATGTGTTGCTCCTTCCCTTTAGCTCCCCACCTCCCAGTGCACCCAACTCCCCCACCTCAGCTTGGGATACTCCTCATTAAAGTCTCTGCTCTTCCTTGTACTCCAGTCCCGGATCTTCAACATCTTGATGACGATGTCATTCCCCTGCCATCGACCCTTCCACAGCTGGGTTGGGACAGGCAGGATCATCAGGTTAGGGACAAGGGCCAGGTAAGATAAGATCAACAGAATTTGGAGCTGGAAGGGACCTCAGATCATCTTATCTAACCCCTTGAATTTTACAGATGGAACTAACCTAGAGAGATCAAGTAACTTACAGCAAAATAATAAAGCTGGAGCCAAACCCAATTTCTCTCCTGGATCCAGGGCTTTTCCCCCCACTATGTAGTGAGCTAAATAGAGGGATGATTCAAGAGGAAGCACAACATGGGATTACTGGCATGACCAGGAGGCTTGGGGTGGATAGGATGTGGTTAGGAGGCCAAAGCTAAGGCAGTTAGGGGATCTGGGCTTGGAACTAGGGGGTTCTTAAGGGTCTACAGGTCACCTCTCCTGACTGGTTCTCGTTGAGTTTCACCACCAGGTTGAGCTGCTTGAAGTCGATGCCTGAGTGTTTGTTCAGGGTGCCGTTCCCTGAGAGGAGTGGGGTGTTAGACAGGGGATAGCTGTGTAGGGGCTATTTCCTGAAAGGAGGTGGGGATGGGGGAAGGTGTCCAGGGCCAGTCCCTTAGAGGATAAGGGAATTGGGGGAGGTGTGGAGTTCACAGAGGAGGTACATAGAGAGCTGTTAGGTATTAAAGAGTAAGCCACTCCAAACTCACGGGGTCGAGTGCGTGTTGTCCCTTTCCAGAATGTGTCTTTGTATGGAATACGGCCCATTGGCTGGCCCAGCTTCTCTGCACGTTCTGAGAAGGAAAAGCAGTGAGGGGCACAGCCCCACAGGGTGACAGGAATAGGAAAGCTGGGCCCCACCCTATTCCCCCATGTACAGCCTCATGAGAGAAAGATCTGAGGAGCTGGAAAGTGAGAGTATAGGATCTGAGGCTCACCTCGGAGGCTGTCTCGAAGTGGGGCTTTGGCCTTGTCCACTGGCATCTCCCCATACTTGTTACAAATGCTGATAAGTGCTCCACCAGCTACAAGGTCCTGGGAAGGAAGGAGTGACCATAGTGGGCCATTTCCTGTACCAACCCCACTACATGAATTCATACCATTCACACTCTCCTGTAACTCCCTTTGGAGATCAGGCATCTGATCCCCAAAAGAAATGAGTGGTGTCCTCACCTCTGCCACTTGGTCCTGGCCCCAGAAGCAGGCATAATGAAGGGGCACATTCCCATGCTCATTCACTGCATTTATGTCAGCCTTGTATTGAAGCAACTGGGAATAAACAGAAAGGACATTTATGCACCCCTTTAATTCAACATCCCAAGCTCACCCTCAGATAATTATCTTCTGGATCACAAGAAGTTCTTAATTTCTACATATTGGCAGGTGGATGTACAGATAGAGTCCTTCATTATCCACTGCCAAGGAGGAAACCATATCCCTTTCTCCCATTCCTCTAAACCGTGAATCTGATCTACGTGATATAAAGAAGGGGAGGGAAAACATTGCCTACTTTCTGCACAATGTCCCGGTGCCCATGGCTGGCTGCTAGGTGGAGGGGTGTATCATCACCCCTGTTCATTACGTTGATTCGGGCCCCCCTCATGATCAGCATTTCAACCACAGCTGAGCGGCCCTCTCGGCAGGCCCAGTGCAGAGGAGAGAAACCATGGTCATCCCTAGAAAGTGGGAATAAACAAGATCATAAATCATATTTCTATCAAAGTGCTTTCAGCCCCTACCCTGAGAAGTGGGTTGTGGAAATCATTCCCCTGTTACATATAGAAGTCAGAGAAATCAACTGATTTTTAAAATGGTAGCATGGTTAAGGGGTTGTGGGATAGGACAGATAGTGGTACGGTAGGTACAACAGAAAACTGGACTGGAATCAGAGTTTCCATTTCTAGCTGATACTGGATGTATAACCCTGGACAAGTCATCTAAGCTCTCTGAGCCTCAGCTTCCTAATCTATAAAAGAGAAAATTAATTTGTACACGAAAGTGAAGAAAACACTTTGTAAAACTAAAATTCTACGTACACGTGAGGGTTTTTTAAATGGGGGGGTGAAGATGGGGTTTAGGGGCAGAACAAAAAACTGGCAGAAATCAGACATCAGGATCTGTTGGCTAGAAGAGGGACAACAGTCACTAGAACTGCAGAATCCTTAAAGAGTTCTGGCAAAACTCTAGGGACTTCGGGGAGAGGGGGAGTCAGAAGCTGTTGGGGGTGGGCCTGCCTCCAGCAGAGGGCCTCTGGTCAAATGGCCATAATAGGAAATTCCCACAACGTCTGGTGGGGGGGGGGAGGCTACCCAAGTAGAGTAAGGAGGCAGGACTGGGGTGGGTCAAAGGCTCTAGGAGGGCTGGGGACTGGCTAGTCTTGAGGAGGAGGGGTGTGGCTGGGCCTGAAGAGTTTGGGTCATTTCCCAGAGGGGTGGAACAGAGGCTCTAGTTAGTGCAGCTATTGGGCTTCTGCCTTCTGCTTCTTTCAGCTACAAATATTACTTATAAATACAAACTCTGAGGTTCTGAGACTGCTCCAGTCCACTCCACACTTGACTCAGAATTTCCTCTAAAACAGCCTGAACAACTGGTTTTCCAGCATCCAATTTATGATGTTGAGTGATAAGGAACTTCTATTTCCTACTGCATGTTCTAGGTAGCACTAATTATTAGTTTTTCCTTACATCAATCCTAATCCCCTTTTTCACATGACAGCTTTTCCCATCCTTTTCCCCACCCAGCCAAATCCTACAATATTCAAGATGAGGTCCAACTAGGGCAAGGCAGAGGACAAGATGTGGCTTTCCTGTTCATCAATCTTCAGCAAGACAGTCATAAGCTTACTTTAACCATCACCCATGAGAATTCACTTCTATGATCCAGAACTCTGAAATTCTTTTATCTCACCTTAATATCCTATTCCTGTACCTTTACTCCTATCAAACTTAACTTCTAATCACTGTGCGGCTGAGCAGTGCTGGAAGAAATAACATAACTGTGCTGCTTAGGAGAACTACATTGTTGCATTATCTAATTTCAACTGGGCCTGATTTCACTTAACATCCTTCTTTTTTGCTGTAGTCCAGATCTCTTTTCCTTAAATCCTCCACCCCCACCCTTGCATATGACCTAGTCTGAGGAAACAGAGTGTGAGCTCCATCTTTTCTCCTTTTTCTACAACTCAAAAAAACCATTAACACTATTCCCCCCGGCCACCCCAATAACTAGTACCTTTGACCTTCTCCCTACCATCTCCAGTGTTCCAACGCCCCCTTCACTCCTCATCAGCTTCCATCTCCTTCCCCTTCCCTAATCTTCAATTTCTCTCTATCTGGCTAATTCTTCCCTACTGTCTAAAAAAATGCTCTTTACCCTAAATAAGCAAATCATTTATTTGGCTACGGCATTCCGTCAAGCTATCCTTTACCCTTCTTCCTTTTCATAAATAATATTCTAAAAAAAAACCCAAACCTATCTATACTCATTTTCTCTAATGCTCCCTTCTCAACTCATTCCAAACTGGCTTCTGATCTTACCACTAGATTGAAAATGTTCTCTCCAAGGTTACCAAAGATTTCTTAATTACTAAAACCAAGTGGCCCTTTTGCAGTCATCATCTTTGACCTCTCGACAATGTTTGATGCTGCTGACCAACCCCTTCCTCAATATTTTCTCCTCCCTAGATCTTCCTGACTTTTCTCTACTGGTTCTCTACCTATGTAGCCATTCTTTCTCAGTCTCCATTGCTGAGTCCAGGTTGGGTTCCCTAACCTTAGGTCTCCCCCATAGCTTTGTCTTTGGCCCTCTCTTCTCTCTATATATCTTTTCTTGGTGACTGCATCAGCTCCCACATGTTCAATTATCATTTCTAAGCAGATGATTCTAAGATCATTACATCCAGACCTAGTCTCTCTCCTGAGGTGAATTCAGTCCTAAATCACCAACCTTTTATTAGATATTCCTAATAAGATGTTCCATAAGAATCTCAACCTAAATATGTCTGAAATGGAACCTACCTCTCTGCCCAAACTCATTCTGACTTACGTATTTCTGTTCAGGATCAACAATCCTCTTAGTCATCTTAGTTCAAAAATTCTGGAGTCATTTTTGATTCTTCACTATCCCCTGCCTACCATAACCAATCAGTTTTCAAGTCTTTTGAGATGTTACCTCCACAATATCTCTCTCACCTGTCTCCTCTCCATTCACACAACCACTACCCTCATTATCTCTTGCCTGGACTACTGCAAAAGACTCCTAATTGGGGCACTTCAATCCATAGCCTCCAAATTGTTGTTTCTAAAATGCAGGTTCTGACCCTATCACTCCTCTGCTCAAGAAGCTTTAGTGACTGTTGCCTCTACTATATAATGGTCTTTTACTTGGCTTTTAAAACTCTTGTCAATGAAGTTCTGACCTATCCAGACTGACTTCCCATTACTCTTCCTTGGACATGCTTAATTTTCAGGAAAAATGGCCTGTTTGTTATTCTCCAAATTGGGCATTCCATCTCCAGCCTCTGTGCCCTTAGACACAGGCTTGTCCCCCATGAGTGGGACAAGTCCCTCCTCACCCAGGCCTTCTAGAATTCCTGGCTTCTTTTCAGACTCAGCTCAAGTGCTCCTTGGCAAAACAGGCCTTTCCTGATCCCCCTCCAGTCATTAGTGTCAGTGCCCTTCCCAATCACTTTATATTCACTTTGGACTGGCCTGTATACATGTTTTATCTCCCCTCTCCCCCAGTGGAACAGAAGCTCCTTGAGAGGAGAGACTATTTCATTTTTATCTTTATATTGCCACTGCCTAGCACAGGGTAAGTGCTGAATAAAATTCATGTTGAATGAATGCCTCTGAAGGAGACCTGGGAAGCAGTTAGCATTTTTGGCTGCACTGTCACATTAACTCATATTCCACCTGTATAAACTGCCCCCGAATTTTTCCACAGGAATTGTTTAGCTGCACATTCACAATCTGGTACTTGTGCAACTGAAATTTTTAATCCAAAAATAAGACTAGATGCTTGAATATCCCTTTGCAATTTCATCATATTAGATCTGGCCTGACCATAGGTTCACAGTTAGGAAGAGTCAGAAACAAGTTTTGAATCTAGGTCATTCTGGATCCTGATTTTGTTGTCCACTTTTTTAGCTATCACTTCAAGTTTCATGTAATCTGAAAATAGGATAGACATGCCATCTAGGCCTCTACTCAAGTCAACAATGAAAATATTGAGCAGCAAAAGTCAACAAAATGCCTGAATCATTCCACTAGAGACCTCCCACCAAGTTAACATTGACCAACTACTACTCTTTGGGTTTGAATCTGCCTAATTTTCCTAGCCCAGAGGCTAGACAACTAGAGGGTAGAGCTCACAACTCTGTGTCTTACTCACATAAGAAACTGTCAAAGACTATACTGAAATCCAGTTGTACTATATCTACCACTACAGTAATCCTGGCAAAAAGGTTAAAATAGAATTACAGGCTTAAGACCTTAGAAATGAATATCTAGTCTAATGAGATCTTCAAGTGATCTCTTTTGAATTCCCTAGCACTTTTCACATTCTGCTTTTCAGAATTCTGTGTTTGGGGCCTCATCTCCCCTACCCTAAGGGCAAGAATTGGGGTCTTCATCTTACTCAGCTGTACCAGGAACCCAGACCCTGAGACCCTATGCCAATGTTTTCACCAAACATATTCCACTTCCAATGTGTGTTTCCCCAGTCCGGCTGTGGATGTTCTGCCTCTTCTTTCTCTTTTTCTGCAGAAAAAATCCCATCCAACATCACCAGTCCACTCCATAAATACCTTCTTAGGAGAAGGTATAGATCATAGAAACTAAACCCTAGAGGCACTGCCTAAACAAAGGGCAAGAAAGGGCTGGGGACTAGATAACAAAAATACACATTATTATGCCAAGGTATCCTTGAGCTTTGCTTGCCCTGCCCAGCCACACCTGCTCTCCTACTTTCCCCTCAAATCCTCTCACCCCTGGTTCAAGTCGTTTTCTGTGTTGTCCAGCCACAAACGAACAGCCACAGCATTGCCCTCCCGGCACTGGGTGAAAATGTCGTCCATGATGACAGCTCCTTAGGACCCTGGATAGTCAGGAGGATGGGGGAGAGGCACTAATCAATGTGGGCAAAGGTTATCAGGGCTTACTACCTCCCCACAAAAGAGAAGAGCTAGTCATCACCCTAACCTTCCGCTTTATGTCCTAGTTGGTCATCTGCCGCCACGCCCCGTCCCCCCCCCCCGTACGGTATTTTGCCAGATCCTCTTCCTTGCCTGGGTTGTTCAATACCCCCCAGCAGCAGCTGGCCGGGAGGAAGGTTTCAGAGGATGATGAACTCTTATTCACACCGTAACTTCCTAGTTACATCTCTTACACACACACACACACACACACACACACACACACACACACACACCCCAGAAGGAACGCTTTTCCACATTCCCCCACCCCTCCTTTAATCCATACTCTTGTCTCCAAACAAGTGTCCTGGGTGTGCAAAAGATAAGCCTCGAGCCAAGCGCCCCGGGCTCCGCCAGCAGAGCACGACCCGAGGCGTCTGTCGCGGGAGCACCAGCTGGGCTAAGGCTCAGAGGCTCCACGCGAGAAGTTTGTCCCCAGGAGACAAATTCTCTTCTGCCACAGCAACACTCACCAAACAGTTAACTAAGAAGCTCCTATCTGCGTGGGTGTTAGGAGTGCCCACAGAGAGAAAACCCCTACTCCATCCGAGCTGAGTGGGGAAAGAAGCCCCCCAGCAGCAAAAAGGCTACAGACCCGGTCCTGGGCGTTACCCCTTCCACCCTCCGGGGACGCCCCCGCCCCAGACAAGGGTGGGGGGAGGGACCGGCGCAGACTGCCCCGAGCCCCGCCTGACAGCGGAGGGCTGCCCGAAGCCCAGAGAGGATCGGGACCGGCCCGTGATTACACTGCGTCCCGGCGGGAGCCCTGGGACTGGACCTGGGACTGGACCCGAGACTCCACCCGCCCTCCCTCCAGGCCCACGGAGCGCGGGCAGCTCCCTCCCACCCTCGGGGCTCAGTCTCCTACTCAATAAAACGGGCTCGTGGCCCCGCCCCCACATCCCCACCCCCAGCGGCGAGTGCAGGTCCGCACGATTCCTTACCGGGTCTCCGGGGCCAGGTCCAGACGCTCCTGCCGCCAGCTCCGGCCGCAGCCTCCTCCGCCAGCCCTGCCACACCCGCCTCGGCCTGGCCCCGCCCCCCGCCACGCTGCCGCTCTGGGCGCCCGCAGCCTCCTCTCGCTGGTCCCCGGCGGGCGGAGCGGCCGCTCTGTGAGCGCACAGCCTCCTCTCGCTGGTCCCTGGCTGGCGGCGGCGGCGGCGCACGTGGTCCCGGAGCCCCGATGTTCAATGTGCCCGAGTGGGCCGAGGAGCCCCCGGCCCCGGCCGCCCGCGCGCCCCCGACCCCGCGCGCCAGGGTCGGGCCGGCGGCGCGCGCCAAGGTGAGAGTTTGCCCCGAGCGTTGGCGTGATTACCCCTCCCCCCCGCGTCGTGGGCCCCGGGCCTCTCGAGAGCCTCGTGTCCGTGTGTCCTCACCCTCCCGTGTCCGTGTGGCCCGCCCTCTGTGTCTGCGTGACACCCTTCCCTCCGTCGTGGGCCCCAAGGCTCTTGTGAGTTCCGTGGCTGTGTGTCCTACTCCCTGTGTTTGCGTGACACCCCATCCCTCCTGTCGTGGGCTCCAGGGCTCTTGGGACCCGGTGTCCGTGTGCCCTAACCCCCCGCCCTCGTGGTGGGCCCCAGGATTCACGGGGCTCTGGTGTCCGTGGGTTCGACCCCACCTGCGCGTTCCCATGACCCGCCCCCTGTGTTCTGGGGACCTCAGTGTTCGGCCAGAGGAGGACAGAGCGGCTTTCCCCGGGGGCCGCCTGCTCTAGCTCAGCGCAGTCTGATGTCGGCCAGGTCCTGTCTTAGTGACCAGGCGTGGGGGGGGACGAGGGATGGGTCCTGTTCCCATCCGGGTTTGGTCCTGGTTGTCCATCCGTCTCCCATCCCTCCCCCATCTCTCTCTCTCTCTCTTTTTTTATTTTAACATTTTTGTTTGAAGTTTTGAGTTCCAAATTCTATCCCTCCCTCCCCTCCCCGCTCTCTGAGACTGTAAGCAGTTATAATCGTATATATACTATATATATATATATATGTATATCCTTTATAGGTGTAATTATGTAAAACATTTCCTTATTAGTCGTTTTGTACAAGCAGACTAGAATAAAAAAAATGAAAGAAAATGAAAAATAGCATGTTTCATTCTGTATTCAGACAGTTCTTTCTTAGGAGGTGCGCAGGGATTGTCTTGGATCATTGTATTGTTGATGTGGATCACATTACTGTTACTGTGTTCAATATTCTCCTGGTTCTGTCATTTCATTATGCATCTATTCATGTAAGTCTTTCCAGGTTATTCTGAAATCATCCTGCTTGTTTAGCCATTCCCCAATTTACGGGCATCCCTTCCATTTCCAATTCCTAGCCACCACAAAAGAACTGCTATAAATATTTTTGTACCAATAGGTCCTTTTGCCTTTTTTTGGATGTCCTTGGGATATAGACCTAGCAATGGTATTGCAGGATGAAAGGGTATGCACAGTTTTATAGCCCTTTGGGCATAGTTCCAAATTGCTCTCCAAAATGGATCAGTTCACTAGTAGTGCCTTAGTGTCCCACATTGTCTCCAACATCCAACATTTTCCCTTTTTGTCATGTTAGCCAATCAGTTGGGTATGAGGTAGTACCTCAGAGTTGTTTTAATTTGTATTTCTCTAATCAATAATGGTTTAGAGCATTTTTTCATTTAACTCTAGATAGCTGTGATTTCTTTATCCAAAAGCTACCTGTTGCTATCTTTTGACCATTTATCAATTGGGGAAGGACATGTATTTTTATAAATTTGACTCAGTTCTCTATATAGTTGAGAAATGAGGCCTTTATCAGAGATACTTGTTTCAAAAATATTGTCCTTTTCTAGCTCAGGAGCTAAGTGTTGGTGGAGGTTCCCCAAGGTAGTAGTTAGGAAGGATTGCTGGGGATGTGGGTATGAAAAAATGACAACTTCTGCCAGAAATTGACATTTTGCTGGAAGGAGGAAGCGGGATGTTGTGAGTAGATGGGGAAGAAGAGGAAAAGGAGGAAGGCATCCTATAGAAGGTAACAACTGAGCTAAGTCTTAAGGTTAAGAGAAGGAAGATTCACAAAAGTCCAAGGAGAGGAAGGGGCACATTCCTATGGCCCTGTGCTAACGTTAATTCACTGAAGCTGGAGACAAGACATATAAGACCAGTGAAAATGTAGTATATGAGAAATGAGCTGAAATAAGGCTAAGGTAGGTTGGAATCAAATTGTTCATAACTTTAGATGTCATGCTGAGGAGTTTGAATTTTATTCTACAGGCTTTAGGGAACCCTTGAAGATTTTTCATCAGCAAAGTGAGAAAATATTTTGTCAGCTGTGTGAAAAATTAATGAGAAAAAAAAAGACTGGAGGCATAGTTATGAGGTTTTATAGTAGTCCAAGGACTACTATATGAGGAGGACCTGAATTAGGTGGTAATCCTGAGAGCAGAGGTGACAGAGTCATGTCCCATGACAAGATCACCTAGGGAGAGAGAGAAGAGGGAAGTGGATGGACCCAGGAGCAAAGGTGACAGTTATAGCCATGGGGCTGGTGAGATCACTTAGGGAGAAAAAGTAGAAGAGAACAGCTTTTGGGGACACTCATGATTAGGAGCATCTTGGGGATCTCAGAAGAATGAGTGATCAGACAGATCAGAGGAGATTAATGAATACTATCCAGAAAGAGCAGGAAACATGGCTAGTGAAGGTTTGAAGGTAAGAAAGACTAGAAAAGGCAACTATGAGCTTTGGGGGAGCAGTTTCAAGACTGCTGAAAGTACTGTGGGGGTTGCCAGAATAGGAAAGTTAAACTGATAAGGAAGTGGAAGCAGTGAATGTAGACTATTCTTTCTAGAAATTTAACAGTGACAGTGAAGAAATATATAGGGCCTTAGCTTGAGAAGGTGGTAATTTTAAACCAAGGTTTTATTTTAAAGATGGGAGGAGACCTGAGCAAATATGCAGGCTAAGGGCAAGGACCCAGTAAAGAGAGGGAGATTGAAGAATCCCAAACGCACAGGCAGAGGGGTGAGCTTTGGAGGGAAGAAACTGAAAGAGCTTATGATTTATGGATTCAGTAATAGTAAAGTAGGAATCAAGGTCATGTACTGAGAGAGTGGGAATTAGGAGCCTGAAAAGGTTCGGAATAGCCACGGTGAATGGTGTGACAAAAGAGTCAATCAGGGAAAGAGACATTGGCTTTATGGTATCGTTAGTATGGCGAACTCCCAAGGAAAGAAACTCCTTTGACTGATGCATATTGTACCAGCTTTGCTGATAGTCTTAGAGAGTTTCCTAGAGCATTGAGAAATTAGAACTTGCCCAGGGTCACACCACCAGTATGTGTCCGAGGAAGGACTTGAACCTAGGTCTTTTCTGGCTTCAAGGCTTGCTCTCTGTTCAGTATGCCTGCTGCCTCTCACAAAAGTACTGCCATGCTCCTAGGAGGTGAGATAACTCTAGTGGCTTTCTCCTCCATCATTTGACATCTAAGGAATAGAAGTGCAGAAGGTAGGTTGTAGGGGTGACTCAGATTTGCAGGAACAGCAGAAGGACAAGGAAGTGGAAGGCCATGGTGTGTAGAATGGACTTACACTCTGAAGTCATGACTATGAAGGAAGGGAAATGAGGCCACTATAAGTGAGGATGGTCCAGGAAAATAGGGAGGGATTGAGGGTCTGGAGATCATGTTAAAGTAGATGTAGACCTGATATGATGACCCATAACTCCAAGGCTGGCCAAATTGCATCAGGACCCAAGGAAAGTCACAAATTAGTGCTAGATGACCTAGAGTGGGGAATGACAGCTTGGAAAAATGGAGGAAGACTTCTTGGAGGAGGATGATGGTACCTGACCTTGGCTTTGGAAGATGATTAGGTTACCAGCAGGTAACTGTGAACTCAGCGAGATAGTTGTGGACAAGAGGCATTTCAGGCTAAGTCTGGAGTATGAGCACAACCTGGGATATGTACAAAATGTATAACTGGGTGAAATATATAGTAATCATAATTTATGTGTCTGTAGTGCTTTTCTTCCACAGCCCCTTGCAAGTATTTCTGTCCTCATTTTACAGATGAGGAAATAAACTTAAAAGGGAAGGCAACTTGGTGAAAGAGAATGAACAGTGGGTTTGAGGCCAAAGCACTTGGGTTTGAATGTCAGCTTTGGAATTTCCTACCTGTATAAAACCTGAGCCGGGTGGCCTCCCCTCAGTGGGCCTCAGTATCCTCTTCTATAAAATAAGGAAGTTAGACTAAGGGCATTGGCTTTGAAGTCATAGGACATTGGTTCAAATCCCTTATTATGTTTGTGACCTCAGGCAAGTCACTAAGAGGCTCTATTTCCTCATCTTTAAAATCAGAGAAGACTAGATGACCTGAGGTCTCTTTCTTGGTGCTAAGCCCATTGTCCTATGATTAGACCATCTCCACTGAGCCATCTAGCTCTGGGAGCCATGATTCTGTGCCGGAGTCATCCCTGCATGTCTCAGAACCACACTCAGAGATGTATGAGCAATGTCACAGGCTCCAGCCTTTCTTTTTTCAGTTTTTTATTAAGAACTTAACAAACACAACTATTTTAAAAGATGATGAAGAATGTATATGAAATTGTAAACTTATGTATAGTTTTTTTAATGTTATATATTAAATTTTTTAAATGTTT